GCATATCTCTTCTTTTGTTGCGAACCTTCAACAAGTCTTATCTTGTGGAGTCCTTTTGCACACTTTCCTGGGTGCCTAGAAAAGACATGTACGAACTGCTGTACCATGCTGTACATCTCTTTTTCCTCCGCGGTTTTCTGTGATTCAGGTTCACCTGCTCCCCTCCCATCTGTGGGGAGTTCCTCCACCGAACCGAAGACCGGATCATCAAAGATAACACCAACAGCGTCAACGCGTGCCACATATGGCCTAAGTTTGTTGGCGTGGATCCACTTACGGCCACCGTCAGGCATCTCAACTACGTAGCTGTTCTTTCTCCTAACCTCTAGTATTTTCGCTGGTCCCAACCAAGGAAAGTTCATTTTTTTACCACTCGTGTCCCTTAGTAGCACTAGATCGCCCCTACAAAAGGCCTTCTCTTTCGCACGGAGATTGTAACGCGTGGCGTACGACCTCCGTTTGTGCTCTGCCTGTTCCTTTACTACTCGCGTCATGTCGGCCATTTGTTTTCTTAATCTAACCAGATATTTGTCTGCCGACTCAACGAGGGTGGACGGGGGCGTCCAGTCACCAGTCCACGATTTTTTTAGGATGGACAGTGGACCATTCGGCGCACGTCCATACATGAGTTCAAATGGCGACATCCCCGTAGTTTCATTTGGAACTTCGCGGTAGGCCCAAAGTAGACAAGGAACTAGGCGATCCCAGCCCCGCCCATGTTCCGCTATGGCATGCCTCAACATCCGCTTCAGCGTAGCATTCCATCGCTCAACTAGCCCATTGCTCTCTAGGCGTTCTGGTGTAGAGAACCTGGGTGACGACCCCAACCTACGCAGCAACTCCTGTGTGAGCTCGGCCGTGAAGTTTGTGCCCTGATCGGACGAGACTGTTTCTGGCACTCCCATTCGCGCGAATATTTCAACCAGTGCGTCACACACTGCCTTCGCCGTTAACGATCTGATACAAACCACTTCTGGCCATCCCGTGCACACATCAACCAGATACAAGGAATATTTGTGCCCCCTCGACGACGCCGGGTATAACGGTCCAATACAATCCATTACAACTGTCTGGAATGGAACATCTGGTCTTACTAGCGGGGTAATAGGCACACGGTCTCTGGTTCTAGGTCTCGCATTCAACTGGCAGTAATGGCATTCTTTGCAGTATTTACTAATCTGCTCCTGCATGTTCGGCCAGTAAAATGAATTCTTAATTCGCTGTTGCGTTTTCCTTCCAGCGAAATGCCCGCCAACTGGTTTGTCGTGGGCTACTTCTAACACTGTCTTCCGCCTGCTTTCCGGTAAAACTAGCTGCTTGACAATTCTGCCATTTATTTTTTCTTTGTGGAACAGCATTCCATCAACCACTTGCATTCCATGAGTCCCTTTTTTTGCCTGTAGCCACAAGGGCTTCAGCGACTCGTCGTTCTTCTGCTCTGTTCGAAACTGAAGGCAACCTTCAGATTCCATTTCGTTTACGTCACTTCGCTCGTCCACTGACTCTACAATCCCGTTTTCACCCTCCGACTGTGTGCTCGCCACGCATGCCTCTATCACCAGCCCTTCCTTCAATACTGCAACGTCACAGGGAAGAGCCACCTGATCTACCAAGGGCACTTTCTGTTCTACTCCTCTTAAAGCTACTAAATCCTCAGGTGTGAGTAGCGCGTCAACTTCTCCGGCAAGCTGCTCGGTTACAGCACAGAGCAGTAAAGTATCCACTCCAGTATCAAGCGCACTGCTACCAAGTCGAAACGGGACATACATGAGATCGGCCTCCACCTTGTGGCCGAAAGCACCCTTCAACCGAACCTTCCCTTTTTGATTCTCGTCCAAAATGGTGGCCATCGACCTTCGAACCACTGTAATGTCTGCCCCCGAATCAACCCTAGCATTCAAGCGCTTGTCTCCTGAGCGGAGTTGCACAAATAGTTCTTCGTCAAGCACTTCATGTTGTTCAGTCGGCGATATTAGTTTATCATGTACAGTCGGGAGCAAAAGTTTGCGGGGCACCGGAGCGCGTGCCGAAATGCATCGCCGCGCCGTTCGACGGCGAGGTGCCGCATTAAGCAGCCGGGCTATGCGCATGCGCGCCTTTCCTGCACGCTATCCTGTCTCTTTCGATCGTTTCTTTCCGACGCACTCCTGATAACAGAAGCTGGCGACAGGGGCGCGAGTTTGCGCTTCGCAGGCTGACATGCTGCGCGTCTGCTTCAGCCGCCTCAGCCGCCGCTGCCGCGCTTTGTGACGGAGCTCGCGGGGGAAAGGGGGGGACAACCAGACGCTCCGTCACCCAGCGCGGCTGCTGAGGCAGCTGAAGAGGACGCGAGAAATAGCAGCCAGCGAAACGGCAATTTGCGCCCCTGGCGCCGACCCCGGTTATCAGGAGTGAGTCGGACAGAAACGAGCGAAAGAGACATAACTGCCAGCACGAAGGACGCGCACGCGCAAAGCACGACTTTTTAATGCGGCAGCCTGCCGTTGCACGGCGCGGCGATGCATTTTGGCACGCGCTCCCGTGCCCCGCAAACTTTTGCTCCCGACTGTACCTCGATTGATTGCTCGGCGCTTTCGTAGTCTAAAGGTCTTTTCACTCGTGCCGTTAGCTTAGGATTGGTCTCAGGGCAATTTCTTGCCAGATGACCCTGTTTCCCACAAGCGAAACAGCGTCGAATGTCGCCGACATACTCAGTATGACCTCTCTCTTTCGGAGGCGTCATAGACTTGCTCTGACTAGAGTCACCAGTAGTGTGTCTTGTGGTAGGGTTTTGGGACCCTCTGTGCATTACTCTCCTGATGGCATTCAGCGAGCTTAGTTATTGCCTCGTGACGCAGCCACTCCCCCATTTCGTTCAAGGCAACATATGCTTTTATTTAATTAGGGAGGGACTCCTTCAACCTATCCGCGACAACTAGTTGCAACAAGTCATCGTGAGTATTCACTTTTCTACTGTTCACATAATAACTGAAGTAGCTATTAAGACGGCCGGCGAACTGGCTCCAGGATTCTTCCCGCAATTCGCCTGCCGTGGTGAATAGTCGTTTGTATTCGTTTGGAGATAATCTTAGCTCACGTGAAATTCGTTCTTTTAGCTGAGCGTAAGATGGCAGTTCCTTCATGCCACTGCACATGATCGCTGACCTGACCCTGTCAGCTATATACGGCACTATCAGAACAGTTTTTATCTCGTCAGGAACCTGAAAGGATCGAAATATGACTTCTACCGCCTCAAACCAGCCAGGCACCAAGGTTTTGTCCCCAGGCATCCGGCTGAGCACATTAGTCAAGAGTGCAGCATAGTGGGCTACCCCAGATTCTGGTTGTAATCCCAGCCCCCCATTTGCACCACCACGATTTTCCTTCTGCAATTTTTGGAGCTCAATTTGTGCCCGTATTTGCTCGAGCTTTATTTTTTCAATTTCCAACCGAGTGTTCATCACTTCAGAATCAGTTCTCCCCTCATCCTCTGATGCGTCATCAGGCTCCTTAAGTTTATCAGGCATTTTACTCTCCCCTTTGCCCGACTCATAGTTCTTCGCCATGGCTCGAGTGATCACTCAACCCAAATAGACAAGCATATGCGCTCACCAATTCAGGTTGACCAGCTCTTCGTCGTCGATGGGCAGTCAGAAGCACTGGCAGCGGAAATTCCTAACAGGAATGTCTCAGGGTCCGTGTATCACTGAAATCCGGACTTACCGCTTGCAGGCAGTAGTTCCTGTCCCTCTCGAAGACTGGAAGTCTTGTTTTCCGCCGTTGGTTCTTGCGCTGAGGCTGCGTCATGCAGCGTTCGTCCCACTGGTCACGCCAAGCGCTCGCCTGGCGTCCGGTTGCATGGCCGCCGAAAAGCCGAGTTTGCTTGCTGTCAGCACCGTTCGTGCTGTGCTCCGGACTCGCCGCTCCGTCGCATATGGTAGACGAAAAGCCTGGCTTGCTTGAACTGGCAACGTCCGTGTAGTATGCCGGACCCACCGCTCCGTCGGTTGTGGCAGGCAAAAATCCGGGCTTATTTGAACTCGGCGACGTCTGTGCGGTGTTGGAGCTGGCCGCTCATCGCAAGGTTCCGTAGCTGAACTCCCGCTGTCGACTGCGCCAGTCACGGCTTGTGGTTTGGGCGCCGTGGGACCCGGGAAGGCAGGGAGCCAGCCTTTTGGGGGGAAAGCGTTTTATTCCGGTTCGAAGTCGTGCTTGCACCAGCTCCAGCCCACCGCGTTCTTTTTTTCTCCTCGCGCACCGTCTCCAGCCTCGGTCCTTCCGTCGTCACTTCGTCTTTTTCACGTCGCACCAATCAGCGCACACCACGGGTAACAAAAATATAACAATCACAAGGCCCGATAACCCGTCGGCGACGGCGCGCGCTGAGTCCGCTGCCTCATGCATGCCACATGCATGACAGAGGCGTTTCTAGATTTCGGTGTCTTATTCGAGCGCATCTTTGGGCCCGCGGTCCTGCTACCCGGTGCTTGCGGCACGAAGCCACCTCCTCGTCTCCCTCGTAGCATGGAGGGAACTAGGGCGCACGTGTGATGTACGTCTCAGCCACTGGGGAGCAGGACTGCGGGCGCGTAGATGCGCTCTGGTAAGAGACCAGAGACGCGTCCAAATGGAGCGTTTTTACGCGGTAAAATGCTGCCCCGGCATTATATCCTTCTAAAAAGAGTTGATTTAGTGGTTTTCGATGATGGTCAGAAAGTTTCTAGGCGGAACCATATGTCTATTTGTAAAAATTAAAAAGTTCATTAACAAATTTTACTTAATTAGCCGACTGATAGTTGCGACTCTCTCTCTGTACTATGTCCCCTGGCCGTATAGCTCTCCTGCACAAACCCCATAAGTGTGGCTTTGACGGCTTCTTTTAAACAAATCTGAAAGATTAAAAAAACACCCTCTCTCTCTCTTCATATGTATATATATATATATATATATATATATATATATATATATATATATATATATATATATATTATTTTTTATGTATATATTAAAAACAAAACTACCGTTCAAAGCATCTACAATAATGGTCAGCGTCTCCAGATCTTTCCGTTTCCGGGATTTCGGATCATTCGTGTTCCAAGGTGTGTACTCGAACCTCCAAACTTTTTTAATAACATCGAATTGCCCCTGCAAAAAAAAAAAAAAAAAATTGAAATATAGGTTAATAGGAGTCAAGTAGCATTATTTAATATCAGTCTTAATTTTTTTGAGCGCACCGCAGGGCAGTACGCATGTAGGCGCCACTGCTAGTGTAGTTTCACGGTGCTTCTTTTTCCCGGGTAACCAGTTGATGATATCTTTACCGTTCGCCTTTTCTGAATTCTCCCTTTGCAGGCGCACGAGTAAGCTTGGCTAACTTGGTCGCTCGGTGCTTGGTAGCTTGGTGTCTCGCTGGCTCAGTCGATCGCCGCCGTAAGTGAATGGAAAACGGACGCGTTTTCTAGTAGGTTGCGTGATTACATTCTGGTTAATTTGAGTGTTACGACAACGGTAGCTTGGATTTTATTTAGAAAACAACTTGGGGTGTACGTTTTGATACATCGACGCCAGCACGTGTATAACTACCCTCGAAGCATGGTTTTTTCTGCATGGTAATTTGTCTGGCTGTTGCTCTCTATAGGCATGTGATGATTCTTCCGAGATCACACACCAGGTGAATACAAGGCTAAATAGGCCCTTTACGAAATTCAGTGTCACCTGGTGGATTATATAGCAGCTTAAAATTCCCCATACAAATGGCGGTAATGAGCCTGTAGTCTAGTATTTTATTGGGAACTGTCTCTTTCGCCAGTCCACGGCAGACTGGTATGTGGTCTTCACTGTAGAGCTTTTGCTTAATCTCTTTCAGTTGCGATTGTGACGAAGATCAGTGTTTTATGGGTAAAATATACATCTAAAAAGTACTTGCAGCATAGTACGAAGTCCATGAAAGGTTATGTACTTCACGTAAAGTGACTAGTGTACCGGGCGCATTATGTACTTGAAGTAAAATATTTCCTAAACGATGTACTTCCAGGGTACAAGTACTTTTTAACAGCATTTTTTTTTGTGATGACTTTTCACTCCCCGATATAATGTTAAAATAAAGAACTGGTGTTCATGCATTGCCCCAGGGGTAATTAGGGGTCCATTCAGTTATTTTTATGGAAATGGCGGCAAATATCGGATACAGTCAACTGGCACAGGCTAGTTACCTTCGGAATGGCGGAAAATTAAAAAGTCCCTCCGACTTCTGAATTCGGTGCCGTTTGCACTGGCTTGCACTCGATGAATTTAAACATACTAGGAGAGAGCATGACGTCAGCCCCGAAGCTTCCGCAAGCAATTCTTTCATGGAGGAGTGTCCTGTTCTAATATTTGAACCTCCTCGCTTGCGCTGACCAAGTGAGTAGTGAGAGTTCGAAATGTTGCGGGAGAGCCGCCCTCAGTAGTATGCGTCGAATGCTCGCGTTTCTGGTAAAAATAGAATAAATATAACAGACAGCAGAACTCTGTTACATCAATCTTGGTGGTAAAGACCATGATCAGTATATTTATTTTATTGTAATTAACTCGATACTCACTTTGATCAGACTGTGTTGCCTTGTTGCCGTATTCCATACTCGTGCTGAATAACGAAATGCTTTTATATTGGTCACAGCAGGCTTGGTGACATTTTTTCTATAATAATCAGCGCAATAAAGGCCGTCCGGAACCTAAAACCAGTATAATAAGTAATGCGTAACTAAATGACCGTGAAAGACAAAGGCTGCGTTTACATGGTTGCGAACCCCCCCATAGCGCATCGAATCCATTTTAAACACTGCGTTTAAGTGGATTCGCATCGACCGGTGGCGACACCGCCTGTCGAATATTTACAACGCAGCCACGTTATCTGCAGTGTTTACAGGTTGCCCAGCGTGCCGGAGATCGAGACGACAACATGGGGGTGAGTGGGCGATGGGCGGGTGACAACTCAGTCTGAGTTGTCGCCCTATCTAAGAAGTGAGAACGGTAACTAAATGCCCCTACACGCATTTTGTTACCGTTCTTAGTTTTTAGATAAGAAACCCTATAGGGCTGGATTTTCCTGCGTCACTAAAGCCCACCGTAAACCATCATAGGAAAGGCCACCGTAGGCGGATATTGGACACTACTACGGCATCAGCGTTCGGCTAGAGTCGAGTCGTGGTGTCAATGACTGGACACGCGTTCCAGCCGTACGCTGACGCCGTAGTCATGTCCAATCTGTAGCCAAAGGTGGCCTTCTTTAGTGACGCAGGAAAATTCAGCACTTAGGGTATTTCATCTTGGAGGTGTTGGCAGAGGGAAAGTGGTTTGAAGCCTGAAGGTCATCTTAGCCTTTCACCCCTCACTCCCCCTCCCTCATTCCCTGACTTTCAGACACTCGACGTGGTTCTCGAGGGTTTATATGGAGATCTCGATTCGGCTTGAAATTCTCAAACTACCTCTTTCAAATGGGTCGGATGATGCACTTTACATTTACATGGGACGATTCGATAAGCTAACTTGATTCTATGCGTTACTATCGCATCCACGCAAATGCAGTCGAAGGAACCGGTAACGTATATTATGCAAACTAATCATTTACGTAAAAATAAAATGTATAATAAAAGCGTCACGAGATACCGGGGAGTACGTGCTTTATAAGGTGCGTGTTACCTAAGATCCGTGTTTAGCCAACATGCAGGACACGCAACATACGAGAACGGCTATCCCAGTAAAGTCTGATTCACACAGTCTGATTTAACTTGATATCTCAGTTGGGACGTGAAGCACCGCAGGTTCCGTCAAGCTTTGTTGGCCCCTCGATTGACATTGCAACTGCAAAAATATAAGTAAAATCGCACCCACAATCTCAGCAGTGTATGCCCAGGTGGCCAGAGTTAGCTCGGGTACTATTGTTTTTGTGTTCTCAGAGCCTATCATTAAGGCATCGTCCAGTCTGCCCTATGTACACTTTTTCCTACACGAAAGGGGAAGCGAATGCACCACTTCCTCTGCGCACTCGACGAAGCTGTTCTGATGTTTCTTGGTACAGCTTACCGTTCAGTGGGAATAAGATGAGTTCACTTGTTTGCACAGGTTGAAAAGCGTATTAGGAGCAGCGAAGACGACGTCAATGTTGAACTTATTGGCGATTTTTTGGTGCCATGAGAGAACCTGTGTATGTAGGGCCGAACGACTGGTCTCCTTGTTCTACCCTGGCTCTTGGTGTGATAGATGTTCCTTTATTTTTGGTTTTTAGGGTGCTCTCTGCAATCGATGTTAGTGAAGAGATAGGGTATCCAGCAAATGTTGATATTGAAATTTGCGCATAAAAGCTTACTCAAATGGACTGCTCGCACAATTTATGAAGCGAGTTGTTTACACATAACTTAATGATACCTTTTTTTACAAGTTTAGAATGTGCTAAATTAAAAAGAAAAATCGTTTTTTCCCCTTGGCTCTTATGTTCAGGATATATGATTGTGTAGGAAATGGAGTCTGAGATCTAAGAAGCTGATAGATCTTTCTTCCGGAAACTCATGAGTAATATCCAATGGATCCAGGCAGTTTTTTAAAGTTGAGAGAACGCTAGCCACAGTGGTTGGCACATTTTTGTTCTCGACGTCAATAATGATGAAGTAGTCGTAATGAAACTTAAATACTCCGGCTACTTTGGAGGAGTCAAGGCAATTGTTCAATAATCTATCGTGATGGGTAAGGTAAAGATGACTTAGAACTCGAGTTGTACACGGCCCAATGCAGATACTTTTCTTCTGGAGACAATTTTTTAGAGCGCAGCTCTTAGGCGCCCGTTTCCGGCTTGAGCGTTGTCGCCGTCTGCGTCGGCGTAACCGCGCGTTGCATTATAGGAAACATCCCATAATGCAACGCGCCTGTGGGTCTCATTCGTGACCCACAGGTTTCATTATGGGACGTTCCCATAATGACGTCACCGTGACGTCACTCGGGACGTCACGAGCGCCCTGCGCGTTGCATTACGGGAAACGTCCCATAATGCAACGTGGGGGTCACGAGTGACCCGCGCGTTGCATCATGGGACGTTTCCCATAGTTCCTCCTCCTCCTCCCTTCTCCTTCCTACACCCCTCATGCTCCTTCGCCTCCTCCTCCCTCCTCCTACTCATCCTTCCCCTCCTCCTCTTTCTCCTCACCCACCCCTCACCTCCGTACCCTCCCCTCTGTACCCTCCCCTCCTCCTCCTCAAGAGCTGCGCTCTAATTCGGTGTTACAGGGAGTTGTAAACGTCTTTCATATTTTCTTCCCAGCTAACAAAGGTCGAGTGTAGGTAGACCAAGACTAGATCTAGAAAATTGTCTTCGAGATACCCGCAGAAGTGTGGAAAGCGATGGCACTAAAAGAGTCAATACTCTCTCCTACTCAACGCAAAAGGCAGTCCTAGGGTAGTTCGTAGTAGAGGTATTTTATGTCGATGGAAAAACTTCCAGCTGACCATAACTTTGCTGTGCCATGAATGCGATAACCTCGTTGGAACTCCTAATTAAGAAAGTGTAGTCAATAGTTAGAAGTTTTAATTTTTCATGGAGAAATAGGGCGAGTGATTTCTGCCAAGTTCCTTTTTCGGATACAATGACTCTGAGCCGACAACCGGGTTTATGGGTCTTGGCACTGAAAAATGCACTGAAGCTTAGCAGCTTGTGGCGATCGATATGGGTGTAAAGTTTTTTTTTTTCAATTTATACGATTGGCACAATTGTCTAGCATGTTTTTTGACCTTACTCAGGGAGACATCTTTATGACATTGGAATACTGACTCAATCGCTGAGATGGCTTTCTCCCAAACATAACATGGTGCACAACTGCAAAGCCTTCTTTCTTGCCCGCGGGAAAAAGAGATAGGGTATGATCTTGTAAATATGTTTGCACCTTCCTGGTAGATATGGAGGCGGCGCGCGGTTCTTGTCGGAGTAGCAAATCGACTTCTTCGAATGTAACCCGGTTAACATCCAACTCCGGAACACGGTGCGAGACTTGACGTATAAACGATAGCAGTTATTGCCGCGACTTCTTTGGTTACACAGAAAATTTGGGACCAAGACTGAGAACGCTTTGCATAGCCTGAGGTAGGTTAATGTCACCAATGACATGCGCAGGATTGCTGGGACATTTCACCTTTTTGGGGGTTTGAATGTGCAGATGTCTCAAAGTCGCCATAAACATTCTGTTAGGCGATAAGTGTGTAGAGAGTGATCACGCCAAATTACTTTCCCACGGGGAAGATTACACAGCCTCACGTAGAGGGAAGTCTAGTGAAATCGTATTTGTCTATGCCATTAAGATTGTAATATCTTGCACATTCTGGTGCCCTGGCCGACAGATGGGGCGAAGATTCCAAAAAAAGGTTTTTACATCAAGTGGTATTATCTTGTTCCGGTCGGTTTATCCGAAGGTTCTTGCCTGACATAGGCTAATGGCAATCTAGATGACAAGGAAATTTGGGGTCCGAGAGAGATGCAGAGAAAGGCATGACGTACTAGAATTATATCTTGTTAACGTAGCAGCTTGGGCGAGTTGGTTGTTCATATTAACACACCCTACAGAGCACTATTGCAAAAATGCATTCACACCGTACACTCACTCTTTACACACGAAAAAGAAAGGAAAATCAAACGAACCGCGCTTTCTCACATCTCCTTTTTGTATAATTTGTCTTTTTGTACGTTTGGAACAACCGAATTTTCCGAATCACATGCAGCTATTTTCTCAACGCCGAGAAAATTTGTTATTTTTGTGTTAGGTTTAAAGATGCTTTACTAATACAGTTTTCATAATTCCTGACGATATGTTCAGCTTCAATAATTCCCCTAATTAGTTGGTTACACTGCCTACCTAAAATTGTACAACATGGCAGGTGAATTTCGCGCCGACAATTACGGTATTGTATGCCCAGGTAGCCAGAGTTAGCTCTGGTGTTATTGTTTTTGTGTTCTCGAAGGCTATCATTAAGCCATCCTCCAGTCTGCCCTATCTACATTTTTCCACACGAAAAAAGAAACGAATACACCACTTCCTCTGCGCACTCCGGAAGACTGAACGATGCCTTTAAGGAGCAACGCAACATTTTTCGCACTTTGCGCAAATACCGCTTAGAACGGATTCCTGATGTTAATGACCTATGAAACACGAGTTCATTGTTCACCCCACGCAGTAGAAGTCGCAGGAAAAATTAAAGAAAAACGAGCAGGTTCACCCCCTCAGCTCGCAGCCAGAACTAGCGGCCACGTGATCTGGAGCTGATTATGTACCGCCAATGTTGATCATAGCCACGCGCTGGGGTTGGCAAGGCACAGAACACGCGCTGAGTTCCAAACATTGTTATGATTCGGCTATTGTTGTCATTGCAGCGATTGGACACAGGCCACTTTACTTCGTCTCACCTTAACATGGATTATTGTTAGCCGCGTATGCTAAAAGCGCGAGCTATTTGCTTTGGATCACGCTTGGGCTGCTGCACAAGCGCTCGTGCAGCGGGTGCTCCAGTCAAGTCAGTCGAGGCTACCCGCTCGCGCTTGTAGAGCCTTCGCAGTTGGTCCATGCTAGGGTGAGACGAAGTATAGACGCTTTGCAGCAGCTGTGCATGGACGCCGCCATGACTGACCTTCAGTTTTTGTTTCCTCTTATTTCGTTTATTTCACTTCATCATTACCATAGCAGGCCAGGTTATTGTC